CCTCCATCATCTCACCTACTGTCCTGATACCCCAGCCCTCCATCATCTCACCTACTGTCCTGATACCCCAGCCCTCCATCATCTCACCCACTGTCCTGATACCCCAGCCCTCCATCATCTCACCTACTATCCTGTTACCCCAGCCCTCCATCATCTCACCTACTGTCCTGATACCCCAGCCCTCTTGTTACCTCCCCCAGTCTCCGTTCCCACTTCATGTCAGTGTGCCCCTCCGACCTTCCTTCCTCTGCTCCTCAGCACTGCTTTTCACCTTCTCATGGTCTTCTTTCTAGATTTCTAGCTTTATTTGTATCTACATCCATTTATATATATATATATATATATATATATATATATATATATATATATATTACAAACTAGGATCCACGGATGAAAGAGAACATGTGGTTTTTGTCTTTCTGAGTGTGGGTCACCTTGCTTAATATTATACTTTCCAGATCCACCCATCCTTATTTTTTCCTACAGATTTCATTTTCTTTACAGCTGAGTAAAATCCCATTGCAAATTGGTACCACATTTTCTTTATCCATGTGTCTGTTAATGGACATCTCGGCTGGTTCCAAATCCTTTCTGTTGTGAATATGACAGCAATAAATATGGATGTGTACATATCTCTGTAGTAGGATTGGAGTCCTTTGGATATATGTTCATGAGTGGCACTCTGGGACATATGGACGATCTAGTTTTAATTTTTTAAATAATCTACATGCGGGTTTCCATACCAGCTGTACTAGTTTGTACCCCACCCACCGTGAATGAGGGCTCCTCTTTCCATACATCTTCAACAGCATTGACTGTCAGATTTGTTGACATCAGCCATTTGCAAAGAAGTTAGTACAGACAGTTTGTCACAGTACAGAGAAGGTAGTGAGTCCCCTAAGGCTGGGGGTTGATGGAGGGCTGAGGTATCAGGACAGTATATGAGATGATGGAGGGCTGGGGTATCAGGACAGTATATGAGATGATGGAGGGCTGGGGTAAAGGACAGTATGTGAGATGATGGAGGGCTGGGGTATCAGGACAGTAGGTGAGATGATGGAGAGCTGGGGTATCAGGACAGTAGGTGAGATGATGGAGGGCTGGGGTAACAGGACAGTAGGTGAGATGATGGAGGGCTGGGGTATCAGGACAGTAGGTGAGA